GTGGTAGTAGCACTAGTAATGGTAGTCGCAGTATCAGTAGTAGTATTCGTAGTAGTAATAGTAGTAGTAGTAGTCGAAGCAGCAGTAGTAGTAGTAGTAGTAGTAGTAGTAGTAGTAGTAGTCGTAGTAGTAGTAGTAGTACTAGTAGTAGTAGTAGTAGTAGTAGTAGTAGTAGTAGTAGTAGGTCTTGCGACAGTAGTTGCAGCAGCCGTAGTAGTAGCAGCAGTCGTAGTAGTAGTCGTAGACGTAGCAGGTCGTAATTGCAGTAGCGGTCGTGAGTAGTAGTAGCAGTCGTAGTAGTACTAGTAGTTGCAGTGCTAGTAGTAGTAGTAGTAGTAGTAGTAGTAGTAGTATTAGTGGTGGTAGTAGTAGCAGTCGTTGTAGTAGTAGCAGTAGTAGTAGCAGTCGTAGTAGCAGTAGCAGTAGTAGTAGTAGTAGTAGTAGTAGTAGTAGTAGTAGTAATAGTAGTATCAGTCGTATCAGTAGTAAGCGTAGTCGTAGTAGTAGTAGTAGTAGTAGTAGTAGTAGTGGTAGTAGTAGTAGTAGTAGTAGTAGTAGTAACAGTCGTGGCAACTGTAGTCGTAGTAGTAGTAGTAGTAGTAGTAGTAGTAGTAGTAGTCGTAATCGCAGTAGTAGTCTGTAGTAGTAGTACTTTGCTAGTAGTAGTAGTATAGTAGTAGTAGTTGTTGTAGTAGGTAGTAGTCGTAGTTAGTAATAGTAATAGTGTGTAGTAGTAGTAGTTAGTTGGTAGTAGTTTAGGTAGTAGTAGTAGTTAGTAGTAGTTAGAGTAAGCCGTAGTCGTAGTAGTAGTTGTAGTAGTAGTAGTAGTAGTATTGTAAGTAGTAGTTGTAGGTAGGTAGTAGTAGTGGTGGTAGTAGTAGTGGTCGTGGTAGTAGTAGTAGTAGTAGTAGTAGTAGTAGTAGAAGAAGTAGTAGTAGTAGTAGTAGTAGTAGTAGTAGTAGTAGTAGTAGTAGTAGTAGTAGTAGACGTAGTAGGTGTAGAAGTGGCCGTAGTAGTATCAGTGGTAGAGGTACTCCCAGTCATAGTAGTAGTAATCGTAGTAGCAGTCCTAGTAGTTGTAGCATGTGGGGTAGTAGTAGTGGTCGAACATGTCGTCGTAGTAGTTGTTATAGTAGTAGCAGTCGTAGTATAAATAGTACTAGTAGTAGTAGTAGTAGTAGTAGTAGTAGTAGTAGTAGTATTAGTAGTAGTAGTAGTGGTAGTAGTAGTAGTAGTAGTAGTAGCAGTAGTCGTTCCTGTAGTAGTAGCTGTATTAGTAGTATTAGCAGTAGTAGTAGTAGTAGTAGTAGTGGTAGTAGTAGTAGTAGTAGTAGTCGTAGTCGTAGTCGTAGTCGTAGTCGTAGTTGTAGTCGTAGTCGTAGTCGTCTTTGGGGTAGTCGCAGTAGTAATATGAGCAGTAGTTCTAGTAGTCGTAGTAGTAGTAGTAGTAGTAGTAGTAGTCGTAGTTGTCGTAGTAGCAGTAGTAGTAGTAGTAGTAGTAGTAGTAGTAGTAGTAGCAGTCGTAGTTGTAGTAGTAGTAGCAGTAGTAGTAGTACTAGTAGTAGTAGTAGTAGTGGTAGTAGTGGTAGTCGTAGTCGTAGTCGTAGTGGTAGTAGTAGTCGTAGTAGTGGTAGTAGTAGTACTAGTACTAGTACTAGTCGTAGTCGTAGTCGTGGTCGTAGTTGTAGTCGTAGTCGTAGTAGTAGTAGTAGTGGTGGTAGTGTTTAGTCTTAAGTAGTAGTAGTTCTTTTTGCTGCAGTAGTTGTAGTTAGTAGTGGTAGTAGTAGTTGTAGTATGTAGTAGAGGTAGTAGCTAGTAGTTAGTAGTAGTAGTCGTAGTAGTAGTAGTAGTAGTAGTAGTAGTAGTGTAGTTGTAGTAGTAGTGTAGTAATAGTAGTAGTAGTAGTAGTAGTAGTAGTAGTAGTAGTAGTTAGTAGTGGTAGGTGTACTCGTAGTAGTTTTCGTACGGATAGTAGTAGTGTAGTAATTAGTTAGTCGTAGTCGTTTTTTACTAGGAGTTAGTAGTAGTAGTAGTAGTAGTAGTAGTAGTGCAGTAGTAGTAGTAGTAGTAGTAGTAGTAGTCGTCGTAGTAGTAGTAGTAGTCGTCGTAGTCGTAGTAGTAGTAGTAGTAGTAGTAGTAGTAGTAGTAGTAGTAGTAGTAGTAGTAGTAGTAGTAGTAGTAGTAGTAGTAGTAGTAGAAGTGGTATCAGCAGCAGCAGCAGTAGTAGTAGTACTAGTGGTAGTAGTGGTAGTAGTGGTGGTAGTAGTAGTAGTAGTAGCAGCAGCAGCAGCAGCAGTTGGTAAGTAATAGTAGTAGTAGTCGTTGCCGTCGTCGCCGTAGTAGTAGTAGTAGTAGTAGTAGTAGTAGTAGTAGTAGTAGTAGTAGTAGTCGTAGTCGTAGTCGTAGTCGTAGTCGTAGTCGTAGTCGTAGTCGTAGTCGTAGTCAGAGTCGTAGTCGTAGTCGTAGTCGTAGTCGTAGTCGTAGTCGTAGTCGTAGTCGTAGTCGTAGTCGTAGTCGTAGTCGTAGTCGTACGTTCGTAGTCGTTATTAAATTAGTCGTAGTCGTAGTCGTAGTCGTAGTCGTAGTGTAGTCGTAGTCGTTTGTCGTAGTCGTAGTCGTAGTTCGTAGTAGTAGTAGTAGTAGTAGTAGTAGTAGTAGTAGTAGTAGTGCAGAAGTAGTAGTAGTAGTAGTAGTAGTAGTAGTAGTAGTAGTAGTAGTAGTAGTAGTAGTAGTAGTAGTATCGGTATGGCGGCGACTACGACGACGATTGCAGCGATGGCGGCCGCAACGACGGCGACGGCGCTGGCGACTACCCACAGGACGACGACGACGAACACGACGACAACGACAACAACGATTTGATGACCCTGCCACAGGCTCGGGAAGTGGGGCGGTCGGTGATAGGAGGAGACGGAGGCGTAGGAGGAGGGGGCGGCGGAGAAGGCGGAGTAGGAGGGGGAGGAGGAGGAGGAGGAGGAGGAGGAGGAGGATGAGGAGGATGAAGAAGACGTCGATGAGGATGAGGAGGAAGAGGAGGAGGAGGAGAAGGAGGAGGAGGAGGCAGAGGAGGAGGGAGGAGGAGAAGGATGAGGACGGCGACGACGACGACAGCGACTATGGTGGCGGCAGAACAAGTACTAGCCGAGTATCGCTAGGTGTCGCCAACTCTCATTCAGTCGCCAGCGGTGGTTTAGGGGGGACTGCGAGGTGGGTTGGATCGCTACCGCGGGCGAGCAGAAGAGGATCTCCGTGCTGGGCACCGTGCCCTCACGGATGCGAGGTGCTTCTGGCAGGTAGGAAGCAGCGCGGATGGGCAGGACGGCGTGGTTTGGCGTTTGCCTTTTATTATTGGGGAGGGGTCATTGGGGAGGACACTCACAGCGCGAAGGGCTCCGACTGGAGTGGCTGGGCGGCCACCGGCCTCTGCGGACGCTGCGCCAGGGCGGCATCGCCGCGACATCCAGTGGCAAACAGTGCCGAAGCGTTCCGCCGTGCCCAAAGAATTGTTCTGAGAGCGTGCCGATGCCTGCTCGAAGTGCCCACGGAGCATGTCCGGCCGGTAACTTGCCGTGTTTTCGCACCTCGGCCTTCTGCTCTAAGAGCATAGTCGGAGGAGGAGGGGGAGGAGGAGGAGGAGGAGGAGGAGGGGGGGGGAGGAGGAGAGGGGAGGAGGAGGAGGAAGGAGGAGGAGGAGGGGGAGGAGGAGGTGCTGCCCTTTTCCTCCTCCTCCTCCTCCTCCTCCTCCTCCTCCGCCCTCAGACCATGCTTGGTCCCCAAAGACTATGTCGTGGTGAGCCCATAGGACTGCCAGGACGTCGGCCCCTGCTCGACGCCTCGCACCCTCGGCGACCGCCGGCCCGGCGCCCTCGCCCTGGCGCCCTGCGCCCGCCCCCGCCGCGAGGCCCCGCGGCTGTTCCTGGCCGGGGACTCCGCGGGGGGGGGGCTGGCGCTGGCGCCGCCGCCCGCGGCCTCCTCTCGGGGGCGTGTCCACTTGGCATCGCTCAGGCGTGTGCTGCGCACTTGTTTCGGCTACACGTAAGAGTGACCTTTCGCCGGAGTGACCTTTGGTGCGGGCCCAACGGAGTCCCCCGATCGCCGAACGCGATGCGGTAGTAGCGTTTTGCGCGCTCGTGTTTAGTCCCCCCGTGGCCGCCAAAAAGCCGCGCACCAAAGGTCACTCTTATCCAGGGTCACTCTTGCGTGTAGTCGATTGTTTCCGGCGAGGACCATCGAGGAGCAACCGGGCTCATCTGGCAACAAGAAGCATGCGCGGAAGCGGCAGCTGCACGGGGTAATGGGCGTCCGAGCGTTGGCAGGCCCAGGCTTCCGGGTGCTGCCATGAGTGCCCCCGGCCCAGGGTGCCCCGAGAATTTCCAGGGAGGCCCTCCACGGCCTCCAGAGCACCCCGCACGAGGCCCAAGGGCTCCAAAACGGAGCGATCAGCTGGGGGCACCCTGGGCCAGGGGCACTTCTAGCATCACCCGAAAGATCGGCGCCGAGCCCAGGGGGGGAGTCAGAAAAGACGGGCCTTCTCAGGAGGCTCGGAAGGCCTCGGGCCTTCTGAAAAGCTCCTAAGCCATCGAAGGCACAGAAACCTCTCAGGAGGCTGGAGGGCTTCTGAGAAGCCACGCCGCCTTCTGAGAAAGCCTGCTCCTTCTCACTTCCCCCCCGAGCGCGCCGCCAACGAGAGGGTGGTGAGGACGTCTGCGCCGTCGAGGGGGGATCAATCCTGGGCCAGCTGTTCGAGCCGCGCCCAGCCCTCGACCTCGGAGCTCGACGTGAAGCCTCGAACCTCGCTTCGAAGCGCAGCATCAAGCCCAAACTTGACCTCGCCTCACCAGGGAAAGAAGTCTTCGTCGGCCCTCGGAGGTTACCTCGCCGCCTCGGCGTACTTTCCAGCGGCTGCGCCTCGTCTGGAGCTCTCCGGGGGCGCCCGGGGTCTGCCGGAGCGGCCGCCAGAGGTCCGAGTTGTAGCCCGAAGGCCACCGGGCGTGGAAGTGGTGGACGAGGACTAGGGCAGGGCAGGACAGGAAAAGTCGGCCGGATGGCGATGGGGGGGGTCAGGACATGGGGGGATGAGTATCCGGTACCGTTTTGTTGGGGTACAATGTGTACCTTCTGCGGGTTGCAAGTACAATTTGTACCTTCTCCCCCCCGTTAACATCCTCGCACATGTCGCGGGCGTTGTCAAAAGTACAATTTGTACCTTGTCTGCGTGGCGTCGGTACAAATTGTACCTTCTCCGTGGGGCGTAGGTACAATTTGTACCTCGGTTGCGCCTCTCTCCCCATCTGGACTGATCCCCCCATTTGCATCCCGCCAAAAAAGGCCGCGCCCAGACGGCACATCGGCAGATGACTCGGCAAATCATATTATACGTTCGGAGGAGGAAAAGGTACCCATACCTCCACCCTTCGGCCGTTTTCCCTTTTTGGGCCTCCTGGGAGGTCCTCGTCGCCACCGCTGGATTCGCCTCGAAATTTTGGTCAGAACGCAACCCCGGGAGAGGTCCGGGGGGTAGCGGTATCGGTACCGTTTGGTTTCCCCATACATGCGGGGTGGTGTGCACGAACATGCCAACTAACAGCTGGACAGTGCCTCGGGGAAATCGATGTCTTCTTGGTATCCACGAAGTGCGAGGGAAGCATGCGCAGCTTTCCGGGGCCTGGGCGTCATGGCTGGGGCTTCCATGGACGGGGCTTTCACGGCCCTCAGGGGCAACGCCAGGGGGCGATAGGCACGGGGGGGATGCATCGACCCCCAGTGGCCCAGTCATCGCCGACAGTGCCCCCTAGCCCATACCACTGAGGAGGGACCGGAATCGCTATCGGGGGTCTAGCGCCGATTGATCGGCGGTGTATCGCCAGTTCCAACTCCAGGTTTTCCCCCCGAGCAGGTCCCCCCCTAACGTTCCCCCTCACAAGGGGGGGGGGGTGACGGTAAGGGTCGGGGGTGGACAGAACCCCCACCCTGACACGTCGATTAGGGAATTGTCCGTTTTCGGTTCTCGAGAGGGTGCCGTAGCCGTCCTTTTCCAGGTTTGCGCCCGCCAGGTTTGGGCCCGAGGTCGTTTTCACTAAACCACGTTTTACTAAAGGGGGGTCTGTCCATCCCCGAGTTAAGGGTGGTACAAAACCATTGATGGGGTCATGGTATCTTCCAGATTTCACGGCCTCTTCCTCTTATCTTCTGGCCTGGAATCGCCCGCGCGCATGCCTGGGTCCGTGATGCGCGCCCCCCCTTTAGACTCCTGGCCCCCATCTTTGGCGCAGCCGATTCTCCCCCTTCGCCCTCCTCCATCTCCCTCCTCCTCCTCCCCCTCCTCCTCCTCCTCCTCCTCCTCCTCCATCTCCATCTCCTCCTCCTCCTTCTTCTCCTCCTCCTCCACCATCTTCTCCACCTCCTCTTCCCTCCTCCTCTTCCCTCCTCTTCCCTCCTCCTGGCTGACTGAAGGCATCGGATCCTCCAGGCAACGCCCCTTGCCGCCGTCCTCGGCCTCCGCCTCCGCTAGGTTTGTTGTCGCGCCCACGCGACCGCGACCCCAGCGCGAGCGTGCAGGGTGGAGCTCCACCGGCCACCAGGGACCCAGAAACATCGGACAGTATGGAACGATCTTGCGATCGAAAAGCTGCCGATCGTGTGAGGTTGGACGATCCACGGGAGGGGGATGAAGTAGAGGGAGCGAGGGAGAGGCACCGAGGGAGGAGATTGAGGACTCGGGGGACGGCGAGGATGTGTGTGTGTGTGTGGTGGTGAGCTGTGGGAGTGGGAGCAGACATGTACGTGTGCTTCCTTTGTCTCACGGCGGCGGGCTACGTTCAGAGGTGTACAGCCGCCGGGCCACCCGGCTGCCGCTGGCGGCGTGGTTGCCAAGTGTGTGGTCGTTGTGATCCTCAAATGCCAGGGTTTCCGCCCATTCGTCTGAGTCCGTCTTCGATGCTGTCGTCCTCGTCGCCCTCGCCGTCGTCCCAGAAAACTTCAACGACGTGTTCTTTTCCACATCGCGGGTCCCCAGAGGGCTGGAACCCTGGTCGTCCGCGTCGTCGTCCTCGTCCTCGCCGTCGTCCTCGTCACCCTCGGCGGCCTCGTTGTCCTCGTCGTCCTCGGCCTCCTCATCCCCTTCGTCGTTCTCCGCCTCCTCCCCCCATCGCCCTCCTCGCCATCGTCCTTCTCGCCGCCCTCTTCCTTGTTGCCCTCTCCGCCCCCGTTCGCCAGGGTCGCCCGCCGCTGGGGGGGTGGGCGGGCGGGCGCGCCTGCCGCCGACGAGGCGCTTGCCGTGAGGCTCCGCGACGAGCCCGTCGAGGGCGTCGTGATCGCGGGCGCGGCCGGCCGCTGCGGGGTGGCGGGGGGGGGTCCCGGCGGAGGAGGGTTCCATGTACCCTCAGGGGCAGCGATAGTGATGGGCGTGTTTTCCACCACCATCAGTTGGAGGGGGGAAGGAGGAGGAGGACGAGGAGGAGGAGGAGGAGGTGGAGGAGGAGGAGGAGGACGATAAATAGGAGGAGGAGGAGGAGGAGGAGGAGGAGGAGGAGGAGGAGGAGGAGGAGGAGGAGGAGGAGGAGGAGGAGGAGGAGGAGGAGGAGGAGGAGGTGGAGGAGGAGGAGGAGGAGGAGGAGGACCCCCTCCCCCAACGTAAAGTGGTGGTGGTGGAAAACAGGCCCATCCGATAGGGGGGGGATCCCGGGCGGGGCTGGGACGAGGATGAGCCCGTGTAAAGGCTCGCGCAGTGCGGCCTGATCTCGGGCTTCCCCCGGGCTATAGCGCGGCTCAGCTTCCTCGCACTCGGGCTCAGTTTAGCAGACCTCCCCAGAGTTGCTGCCCAACGTGCACGACCTGGGCCCAGGATCGAACCAGGTTGGGTGGGGTCGGACGGGGCTAGGACGAGGATCAATCCGTTCCAGAGCGTGCCTGAGCGCTCTCGGAGCGTTCTGGAACGCGCTGAGAAGGCCACGGCGCTCGTGACATCCTCCAGAGTCGCCAGATCTCGGAGATTCTCGATGTATCCTCACCCGATTTGGTCCTCGTCCTGGCTTCGTCTCAGGATAGTCGGGCCGGGGGAAAGGGGGGGGGTGGGAAAGGGGGGGTTACGAAATTTGCTGCATGCAGCTGGTTTCGGCCTCACCGAGGGGCCCATTCGATACATAGCCGCTTCCGGCGCCGGGAGGCGCCGGGAAAATCAGCTACCCCTTTGCTATCCCCCCCTTTCGCCCGGCCCGAGATAGGCTGACGAGGGGACGCCTCGACTCCCAATCGCCTCATGATCGCCGACAGGGGCCGCGATGGCCCATACCACCCAAGCGTGTGTGCGGCTTCTCCCTCGGGGGCCCCTCGCCGATTGAATCGGCGACCTGTAGAGGGAAACAATTATCAGGAGGGGAAAAAACACACAGACACAATTAATCGTCGATCCCCCAGAAAATATGGGAAAATATGGGAAGTGGTGGGGAAGACAAAAACCCAGAAAATATGGGAAAATATGGGGCATCATTTTATTTGTGTGTATTTATTTGTGTGTCCGAATTTCCCTTCAGTAGAGGGAAACAATTAGTGAACACCCCTCCCTGCCCCCCAAACTCAGAGTTGGCACGCGCGGGGGAGACTGCGGTCGAGGTGCAACTCATCAGACCCACCGCCAACTTTGAACATTGGGGGAGGGGGAGGCGTTGACAGATGAATGTGGCATGAGTGTTCGCTATTTTCTTCCGAGGCCCGGATGTATCGCCGATTCCAGGTCGATGTTTGCCCCCCTGAGCTGGTCGCCCCGATCGTTGCCGCACGATGTTTCCTATCCGAGCGTTTTTGCCATTGCTAGACTTCTGCCTTTGTTTGCTGTGTTTCGGGCACTGGGACAAGCAGGAAAGGATCCGTCGCGAAAAACTGTCCCCACGGAGGGGGTCGGGAGCTCTAGGGCCGCGGATGGATCACATCAAGGCGGAAGATGTCTAGATATACGGACGCCGACACCTGCCCTGAACAGGCCCGATCCTGGCCCCAGGGTCGGTGCATACATGCCTTCCTGACCAGGCCAGGAGGGCGTATAGCTGCACCGGTCCTGGGCCCTCCTGGATGAGCCTGGCCAGGATCGGTGGAGATGCATGGTGACTCGTACAGAGCTTCTCTACGTGCGAAGCTGAGGAAGGCTAGGTGGCTGGTTTCCTGCAGGTCTCACTCGAGAGGAAAGGGCGATGACGGTCCTGCGGCAGGGTTGCCTGCCGACTCCCCGGCACGAGCCGGACGATGATCGGGTGTGTGCGCTGTCTCCTCTCCCTCCCTCCTCTCCAACATAGCGCTGGACAAAAAAAGATCTCAACGGACTTTTTCGTAGCAGGAGGGTGGCTGAGCGTCGACTCCCCGGCGCCCTCCCGCAGCGGGGGGGCTGGGCAGGCCTCCAGCGGCGGCGGGGGGTCCTGCGCGGCCTCCGCGGGCGCCTCCTGCCCGGGCGCGGTGGGGGGGGGGGGCCTCGCGGGGCCCTTCGCCCCCGGGTGAGGTGGTGGTGGGGGGGGGGGTCGGGGCTCAAGAGACGGGGGTCAATGCAAACGGGGGTCAATGCAAACGGGGGCGCGGTGGGGGGGCCTCGCGGGGCCCTTCGCCCCCAGTGAGGTGGTGGTGGGGGGGGGAGGTCGGGGCTCAAGAGACGGGGGTCAATGCAAAGGGGGGTCAGCCAGGGCACCGGATCCTGCAGGATCCTGCGAAGACCCCCTCCGGCTGACCCGGGTCAGCGAGCCGTTCGTGGCCGCGAGGCGGCCGCGCCTATTGGCTGACCCGTTTTTTTTTTTTTTTTTTTTTTTTTTTTTTTTTTTTTTTTTTTTTTGTTTTTTTTTTTTTTTTTTTTTTTCTTTTTTTTTTCTTCTTGCATTGCAGTTTTTGGTTTCCTGCTGACCCGGGTCTGGATTGACCCAGGTCAGAGGATCCCGAGGGGGCTCAGGGCAACGGCGCAGCCCAGACGCTGGAATGATGGGGAGCAGTTCCGGTTCGGTTTCGGGAGGGGCTCGCGCTGGGCCGTGGGCGGCTGGAGCTGGACAGGCAGGGCTGTGCATTTGTCGGTGTTGCGCCACTCGTGTTACACACCAGCTCGAAGCATCTTCTGGTGGTTGCCTAGAACTGCTTACCGACAACTTTGATGTTCAGTGGCAGGATTCGCAAGACCTTCGCTGCGCCCACGTCCTGTCTCAGATTTCAGACATATCAGTGGCTAGTCTTGGCGGACTGGATTTGGGAGCTCATTGACAGTCTTAAATTGGGCTGGTTAGGCTAAGCGCAGGGAAAGATCGCCACGCCGCTAGAAATAGTCACATGCGGCAGAGGAACCATATTCTTGTCACCTCAATCGGCTACACGGCACGGGGAGGAGGAAGAGGAGGAGGAGGAGGAGGAGGAGGAGGAGGAGGAGGAGGAGGAGGAGGAGGAGGAGGAGGAGGAGGAGGAGGAGGAGGGGAGCAGGAGGAGGAGCAGGAGGAGGCAGAGGCGGAGGAGGCGGAGGCGGAGGCGGAGGCGGAGGCGGAGGAGGATGAGGAGGAGGGGGCATCTTGGGAGCCTCTGGGGATACTCTTGGGGCCTCTTGGGAGCTTCTTGGACCTTTGGGGGCTTCTCTGTTTCAAGAGGAGGAGGAGGAGGAGGAGGAGGAGGAGGAGGAGGAGGAGGAGGAGGAGGAGGAGGAGGAGGAGGTGGAGAAGGAGGAGGAGGAGGAGGAGGAGGAGGAGGGGGAGGAGGAGGAGGAGGACCATGAGCAGGAACAGGAGCAGGAACAGGAGCAGGAGCAGGAGCAGGAACAGGAAACGAAGGAGGAGGAGGCGGAGCAGGAACAGGAGGAAGAGGAGGAGGAGGAGGAGGAGAAGGAGGAGGAGGAGGAGGCAGAGTGACAGGAGGAGGAGGAGGAGGAGGAGGAGGATGAGGAGGAAACGCAACAGCAGCAGCGGGAGAAACAACCTTACCTTTAGTGAGGGTTCTTGCTTGGCGCAGACTACACCCGGGAGGTCTTCTCGACTTCTCCTCACCCCTTCGCCTCCCTTCTCTATTCCAGGGCAGAAGCATATCGCCACCACCTTCGGCATCAGTACATAGGCCCCAGGTCGAGACTTCTCGCTTTGTTGCTTGATCCAGAACGCATCCAGAGACGCAACGGCCATCCCGCCAATGTCCTTCTGTAGCGCAAACAGGAGGAGGAGCAGGAGGAGGAGGAGCAGGAGGAGGAGGAGGGGGATGAGAAGGAGGAGGAGAAGGAGGAGGAGAATAGGGAGGGGGAGAATGAGGAGGAGGAGGAGGAGGAGGAGGAGGAGGAGGAGGAGGGACTGGGAGGGGGGATGATCGTTGCCCTTCCGAGGGATCTCCGTGGTGAGCCCGATGACGGACCTCACTTGCTCTGGGGAGAGCTACACGTCGAGGCCCGAGCCCGCCCTGGGGTGTGTAGGGGGGGACGCGCGCGCAGTGCCTCGTCGTCGTCGACGTCGTCTTCGTCGTCGTCGTCGTCGTCGGCGGCGGCGGCGGCGGCGGCGGCGGCGGCGGACTCGTCGTTGGTATCGTCGGCGTCGTCGTCGTCGCCGTCGTTGCGAGGCAGGATGCCTTCGGCGGCGGAGGTGGCGAGGCACGTATTGGGGGCGGCCTGCGGGGCAGGTTGCCCTCGGCGGAGGAGGAGGGGTGGCGGCGACGAGGCTGTGTGCAGGGCCCCGCGCCGAGGGGCGCGAGGCCCGTGGGGCCCGTCGCCCAGGCGCGGAGAGGGGCGCGAGGCCTCGGTCTGCCGTGCCAGGCAGGGCGGCCTGCAGAGGTTGAGGCGAGCGGGGAGGAGAGCGGCCTGCGAGGCAGGACACCCTCGGCGGAGGAGGAGGTGAGTCCGGGAGAGCGGCCTGCGAGGCAGGACGCCCTCGGCGGAGGAGGAGGTGAGTCGGGCGACGCGCGCGAAGCGCCCGCGCGCGCTGCCCGCTGCGGGGGAGCGTGTGCGACCCCCGCGGCGCAGTCGAATCACGTCGAATCACGTCGTCGTCGTCGTCGTCGTCGTCGTCGTCGTCGTCGTCGCCGTCGATGTCTTCGTCGTCGTCGTCGGCGTCGGCGTCGTGGCCGTCGTCGTCGTCGCCCCCCCCCCCGCACCGCCGGAACAGGAGTTCCGCACGCCACTGCGGGGAGAGAGAAGGCAGATGGGTTGCAAAAAACCAAGGACTGCAAAAAAAAACCCAGGATTGCAAAACAAACCAAATATTGCACGAAGGATTGCAATCCTTCGTGCAATCTTTTGCAATCCTCGGTTCTGTGGTCGGCCACAGACCCTAGAGGAGGCTCCTCGGAGAAGACCTTTCGCAGCGCGGAGCGGCTTCGACGGGCCACCCCGCGGGCCCGCGACGGGCCCCCCCCCGCAGGAATGAAGACCGCCACTCTCGTGCTCTCTGGGATCGCGGGGCTTCCGCTCTCGAAGCTTAGCGCCAAGGCTCCTGGCCGCGCCTTCATTTCATCGGGGGCTCCCAAACGGGGTGGTGACCACACCGTGTGGTGAGTCGGTGGGGATTCGGGCTCACCGCACGGTTTTGGGACTTGTGTCGTTCTCCGAGGATGTCTCGGGCGACTGGAGCCTCCAGGGTCCCAAAACCGTGTGGTGACGGACCGTGCGGTGAGGTCTTTGCGGATTTCGAGGTCACCGCCGGATCTGTCACCACACGGTTTTGGGACACCCAATTTCAGCTCAGGCAGTCAGACAGGCAAAGGTGTTGCCTGGCCTCCGTCCCATGGCCCACCTGGGCTGCGGCTGCACATGGCAGTCTGACCTGGCCTGTCGGGAGCACGCTCCAACAGCTTGCGAGCCGAGTCCCCTGGCGACGGCCACCGGCCATCACTGAGCGGACGGCTGGGGGGCTTTGGCCTGCAGAAGGCGTCCTGTTCTTCCTTCCCGCTCCAGGAAGGGCCGCCTGCGGCCCCGCACGCGCTGCCTCGAGCCCCCTCGCGCCAGGGGGCCACAATCGCACTGCCTCCGCACAGGGAAGAAGACAGGAGAGGGTCGCCCCCTCCTGCAGCACAGGAAGCTCAAGCAGGAGACCAGCCCCCTGCCTCCATAGAGCTTCTGACGGTCCTTCCGAGAGGCCAGAGAGAGGTCTGGGCTGGGGTCCCCCAGAGGTGGGTCGGCCTCGGGGCCTGCGAGAAGGGCCCCTTCGGCGGCGGGCTCCGCAGCAGCAGCAGCAACGGCCCACTCCTTCTACTCCTCCTGCTCCTCTTCCTCCTCCTCCCCCTCAGCCTCCTCCTCATCTCAGCCTTATCGACGACCGCTTCGAACAACCCACCCTCCAGAGAAATCAGAGAAGGCCCCTGGGCTCCAACGTTGTCGAAACGGTCCCCTTCGGAAGAATACACCGTGGCCCTGATTATGAGGTTCGGCACCAAACGGGCCGCGAGCAACATAATTGTGGCCAACATCAGATCATATTCACATTGACGATTGAGAGACACACTCTTCTTGGCAAAACGATATGCGTCATGGTTGCTGTGCCTCTTGAACTCTGAATGTGCCCTTCACGGACGTCTACCTGCGTGGAGTGAGCTCGGACCCTCCGAAAAGAGACCCCCGAGAGATCGCCCTCCGAAACAATTGGCGCCACACATTGGCACGAACGCTGGCCGTCCTGATCGAGAGCCTGCGATCTTTGCAGCACTGCAGGGTCCCGCGACAGTCTGAGTAGAGCGTGTTGCTGCCACGATCGCACAGGGGAGGCCGCACACACAGCAACATCCTCCCCATCCCCGGCAACCTGATCTGGGCACACGGAAGGCGGCACTGACCGAACCATTTGGCGACATTACGCTTGTGTTGATCATACGCCGCCACCCCCCACCCCGCCACTCGCAGTAGTCTACCCCGCTTCGTCGCAAAACACGTGCCCGTCTTGGAGCACGAGGGACGCGTTCCCCCCTCTAGCCTGAACTCGGTGGACGGTCCCCAGGGCTGTTTTGGCAAGAAGCTGGCAAGGGTCGGATCGGATGCCTCGGGAAAAGCGTTTCTGAAGTTTTATCGAGCATCCATTTACTCGCTGGACCAGTGGCTCTCAGACAGGTTGTCCCTCGTCCAAGCTTCTCGAGCTGGGCATTCGAAGTGCCTGTGGAAGAGAGCGCCCCTTGCCTCGCAAAGCAAGCAATCTGAAGATAGTTGGGGGTCGTGCTGGCTGGGCTTATGCTTGCTCCAGTGGGAGCCTATGACGAGCCCTCTGAGGGTCCTCTGCTCTCTGGTCCCCTAGGTCCCTCCAGAGCTCAACACATTCCCCTCTTCGCTTTCAGGGGCAACCTTCTTGTGCAAGAGCTCATTGAGTGGACGCCGACCAATGTCTCCTCTCCAGGCTTTACTCTGGCCTATCCTGACAAGGCCGGTGGCGTCTGTCGCACACCTGGCTCTGCGTGCTAAGCAAGGGAGGCGAGGCATCATTTAGATCCCATTCCTCCGAGGATTTGACCACCCTCGATGGATCAGGAACGCGAAAGCCTACACGGGAGCATGTAGTTGTCACAGGGTCTTCGGCTAGGCTATGGCCCATGGCTTTGTCCTGCTCGCAACTTCACTTCTTGCCCTTTCTAGAAAAAAAAGCACGCGGCAACGACAACATCAGAACGGCGTTTCTCCTGGATAATCTGGACATGCGTTTTGCTCGCATCAGCCGTGACCAAAACCAGGGGGCCCCTGGCCCAGCCGCCTCTGGAGCGCATGGCGGCCAAGTCGAGCGAGGAAGCCCCTGGGAGGCGGCCCCCCTCTCGAAGGGCCGAGGCTCTCAACTGCTTGGCAGACACTGGATGTTGGCCCTCCATGAGGCCTTAGCAGAAACGCCAGCTAGAACGATACTGCCTACCTTGGCCCCCACTTCCCTGAGGGCCACCATCTCCGGTTCTTTCCGCAATGCCTCACACAGCGATCCTGGTGCGTTGGGGCTCTGCGCCTCCCAGCAGCAGTGGCGTCTCCGAAGTCCCTGTGAACCCTACAGACGACGTGATCAGGCAAGCTGCACACACGCTTCCTGCCACAATGCGCGATGAGGACATCAGGTCCAGCTTCTTCCAAGCAACTGAGAGCCCGAAGCGTTTGCGAGTTCCCTACCTACTACTCGCTTCCTCCTCCTCCTCCTCCTCCTCCTCCTCCTCCTCCTCCTCCTCCTCCTCCTCCTCCTCCCCTTACGGCGTGGAAGGAGAAGACATCATCAGTGGCGCGCTCTAGCCAGTCCGCTGGGCACTCGGACGCCGTCTTCCCGAGGCAGGCCGGAAGGAGCAGCCTGGCCGGCGACGTGGCCACCAGAGCAGGCAGCCACATTCGATCCATGGGGGACGATTTGCAGGCTCACCGCCCCTTGCCAGGAAGCTCTTCGACGGGGCCCTGTGCACCTCCTCCTCCTCCTCCTCCTCCTTCTCCTCCTCCTCCTCCTCCTCCTCCTCCTCCCTGGGCCCTGAGCAGGGTCTGTGGGGAATCAGCCCAGGCGAGCTGCATCGAGCAGCTCCTTGTGATTGGTGTGCTCATTAAGATTCTGGAGGTCTAACACTCTAGGCCTCCCAGATAGGGTCGGAGTAGATGGGGTCTGAGGATCGCGCCGCATCGCCGATGCATCGCCGATGTGGCTCGATGTAGGGCCCGATTTGCTTCACGTCGACGTCGCCAATGCATCGCCGACGTTGACGTGTACCGCCGATGCGGCGCGATCCGCCGGCCCCATCTGCTCCCACCCCATCTAGGAGTCCTCTAAACACGAGCGTGCTGGTCTCCAGCCCTTGCACCTGCCCAGCATACGCAGCTAGTGCGCGGTGGGCCCACGCGCTCTCATCGCAGGCTGTGCTGAGGCTCGTACCCCAGGGCAAGCGCTCATCAACCGAACGCCTCCACTTCGCGCAGAGCCTGTAGCGGACACGGCTCAAGGCCCTGGCCCACAGCGGCAGGGGGCCTACAGGCTTCGCATTTCCTGAGGGTTTGTCCAGAAAAAAAAGCAACGACTACCAACCAAAGGGGACCCGTGACAGGATGCCTTTCCCATGGGTTCAGGATTTTGATTACATCTTGAACCAGAGCCCTGGGCAACTGTACAAGTACACGAGGGCTAAGCGCATTCCAGCCTGGCCCAGTGGACGGGTCTGAACGAATGGGCAGCATCTAAAATTTGCTCGACCGTGATCGGAGGGAGGTCCACATGAATCTCCCAAGCCAGGGGGCGAATGTTCCCTTCCCTGACGGCTTGCGCCAACTAGGATTCGCGCAAGCGCTTCCTGGCCCGCCAAGAGGGTCGGCTTTTCCCATTCCTCCTGATCAGGATTCGCTAGCACCTTGGCATCGCTCGGACGTGTGCACTATTTCTCGGCGAGGACCATCGGGGAGCGTCTTGGACCATCGAGCGAAACAGATACACGCACGACAGGGAAACATGCACGAGGAGGGGGCGTCCGAGCGATGGCGCGACGCAGGAGCAGGTGGGGGTGGAGGGTTGCTCCGAGGAGCGCTGTCTCTTGCTTGGCGAGGACACCCTGCGCCTCCGCGTGCTCGTTGGTCGCCGCGGCAGGGCGCTCCTCCTCGCCGGCGATCGCCTCCTTCTGCGTCTTGATCTGCTGCTTGGCACGCAAGGTCTTGGGTGCTGCGCTGTCTGATCTGCACCGTTGAAGGCCTCGCCGTCAAGAGAACGGGGAGCGCAACTCAGAGCGCTCCTGCTTGATGATGCCATGATGCGAGGATGCCAGCAGGGGACCGCCCAACTGCCCGATGAGGGCGTCCAGCTCCTCCATTCCTTGGTGGCCGCTGGGGCCTCGGCGCTGGCGGCGACAGCGTCCGAGCGCTCGGCGTTGTTGCCTACGAGCTCTGCGTTGGTGTTGGCGACCTGCTTCTGAATGGCCGCCGGCTGCGCCGCCAGCCAGCGCCTTGCTGCTCGCCGTGGCTGGCACCAGCGCGCAGGCATCGGTGCATTGTTGCGGGTCCACGCGCCGCGAAGGCGCGTCAGCAGCAGGCTTCCCCATGAAGGCGACCCCCTCGGCCAGCTCTCGAGAGAGGCACTGCCGCCGCTCGGTGAAATTGACGGAGGGCTTGCCGCTGCCGTCCAGGGAAAGACGACAGCACTACTTCGTCGCGCGGGCAGCACGTATGCCACTGGCCGTCCCCACCTTTGCTTCCCCCTTGTGGATTTCGAAGTGCGCGGGAACCTCTACAGAAGACCTACAAACAAGACAGGTCAAAGGCCAAGAACGCGCACCATGGCGCCCAAGAGTGGGACATGAGACGATCCGAGTCATTGACGACGGAAGCATCAATTCCAATCCCCAGCTCGTTATTCAAAGTTTTGATGAGCCTGCGGTGAGCCAACTGGCTACGGAGAGGAGAAGGAGGAGAGGCAGGATAAGGAGGTGGAGGAGGAGGAGGAGGAAAGGAGCTCGAAACCCGCAGGCGCTGGACGGAGGATGGCGACACCAGACGCGACCCCATCTTCCGCGCGGCAGACCCCGTCAAGGACCGACGGGTAGGAGGATCCTCCTCCACCTTCTCTCGCTCCATCCCTGCTCCTTAGGAATAACTCTCCTCCCTGCCGCTCCCCCAAGCGAGTCGTTAGGGCGGGCCGGGCGTTTCGGTTGCGACACCCTCATCGCTTACGATCTTCAAGCTGGGAAGCTGCAACAGTTTCGGGGGCGGAGGGCTGGTCCTTTTCAAAATGTGGCTCTCGCCCCTGCGCCGCGCACACTCGTGGTAACGCTTGCAACAGCCTCGAGGATGGAGGGCGGGCCCTTTTCAAAATGTGGCTCTCGCTCGAGCGCCGCGCATATTGGTTTCCGATATTCGCTGTTGTTTGCAGGATGGGGGTGGGCAGGCCGTTTTCAAAATATGGCTCTCGCCCCAGCGCCGCGCACATTGCAGCAGTATGGCTCTCGCCTCAGCGCCTCGCGTACTCCTCGTACACAGTTCAAACAGTTTCGAGGAGTCGTCGGGTTGAAGTCCCAGGATTCTTGTTCTGGCATGGTTCAAGACTGCCAGGGCGCAACAATCATGTTCATTTGCGGTGTTGAAAACACAGGAATGGTGTTGTGATGCAGTTAAAGTCATAGGGATAGCATTCTGGCACAGTTTGGTGTTTTCAGGACGCAACAATCATGCTGATTCGCGGCGCTGAATTCCCAAGGATTGCGTTTTCGTGCGATTGAGGATTCTCAGAATCTTGCTTTTCGCTGGGGCATTTCCGCAATGCAAATCCATTATTTCTGGAACTTGTGAATGGGGAACCTTGTTGCAACCTCGTTGATGCCTCTTGGGTTTACACTAGTCCCTCCCTTCCTCCCCCCTCCGTCCGTCCTGCGGAAGGGGTTGGATGGATTAGTAGGAGTAGTAGTAGTAGGAGGAGTTGGAGGAGGAGGCGTTGCAATCCCTTTACCCGCAGCAAGCTTGAGCCTAGAGCCCAGGACAGCATCCTCCATATCGGAATCATCCGCATATCTTTTCATTTTTGCGAAGTCGCGGCGGACAATGCACGGACCTAGCATACATCCCCAGCCCAAGTAGGGCTCTGGGAAGACTCGTTCTAGAGTAGAGTAGCATCCCCAACCCAAGTAGGGCTCTGGGAAGACACCTCGCGTAAGGAAAATGGCATCAGTGATTGACACGAAACTCTTAGGACGAGGTCTCAAAGGTTTCTCCGGAGATGAAGGTGAGTGGAGCGATTGGTGTTATCGTTTCGAATCCTATTGTGGAGCTGTGAGTCAAGTGATGTTTCAGAACATGGATCGAACCCAATCACATACAGAAGAAGATGTAAAACAACATTCTGCGAACCTAGCCTACATTCTAAAAGGCGTTGTGTACGGAGAGATGACGAAAGTATGTAGGAATCTAGAGAAGGTAACGGTCTTGATATGTGGCGTAGGATGTGCATCATATATGAAACCAAAGACAAACATACGAACAGAGGAGTTCTGAATGCAGTTATGGATTTTAATTTCGCGGGCGCCTCCCTCCCAGAGGTTCTTGAGCGCCTCGAGGAAATGGACTTGCTCATAAAATAATGCGATGATCTAGCTTCCCCAGACGAGCTAGCAGATGATGTCATAGTTAGCGTGGTCATGAAGACGATCCCGGAACCAATGACAACACATTATGAATTGACTGGCCATTCATGCGAAGCTTGCGAAGACCTCAAACGTGAGATACACACATACGTCGGAAGCAAACGTGTTTGGAAACACCCATACGGCAGAAAAGAGAACTGCCCCAAGCCCATAGAAGTAGATGCTTTGAAGGGTTCTCCGAAAGGTACCCCGAGAGGTTTTCCGAGAGGACCCCCGAACGGTGACAATAGGGGCTCTCCTAAAGGATTCCCCAAAGGCACATCCAAGGGCACTCCGAAGGGATTTTCCCAAGGAGCGGGGTCTGGCCGTAGATACCCATCATCCTCGTGGCGAGGACAGGGTTCCTCCACTCAGGCCCAGGGTTGGTACCAGAACGAGCGGCAAAGGAAAAGGCTAAGACCAAGCGAACCTTGGAAGCAAAGGTAGGGACCAGTCGAGCAGGGGAGGCAAAAATGGATGGAGCCAGGATGTGAACAAGGGGTGTGACATTTGCAGGATGAGGAACCATTGGGCGTCAGAGTGCAGATTCAACACGAAAACTCGATTAGGGAAAGGAAGCCATTCGGACGAACAGGCCTGGGATCAGGACTCTTGGGGTCCGGGTTGGTCTTGGGACTCGCAGGGCGATGGGAATCAGGATGGAGGAGAGCAGCCAACGCAATACGACGGATACTCCCCCGAGGAGTTCGCGGCTCTTCTTCCTAGCAGCAGCTCTCCGGACGACAGCGACAGCGACAGCGAGTCGAGCGATTCGAACGGGTGTCTCCCATGTGAGTTAGATGAGCTTGCCGAGGGCTTACAGGGCGACAACGCATTTGCTTTCGAATCTGGTGCTGCGGATTCGTGCAGTGCAGCGACGTTGGCGGCGACAGCAGCGCACCTAGTGAGCATGTTTTTTGTGCAGATGTGGGCTCTCAGACGGATCCCATTCGAGTCCTTGAGGAAACAGGCTCTCAAACGAATTCAGTGGTCGAGCAGTGCGAAGATTTCCGCGATTGTCCTGAATGGTTTGTGATGAAAGATGCAGATTCAGATGATGACAGCGATGATCCCAGCAGCACTCATCGCAAGACCACCGCGAGTTTTCCAGGTACGACGTTTTACTTGACGACGATGCTTGTGATGATGTGTGTAGTGTCGATTTGCGTAAACATGTGGTCACACGGGCCGCCTCCTTGGCCATGAATTGCCTTTCAAGGGCCACGCAAGGCCACATGGACGGCATCATCAGGTGGGAAGCCAGCCTCCGTGGCGGCGTGCCTCGTGCTTTCTTCCGCCGAAGTCGCCACCACACTGTTTGTTACCAGCGAAGGCTTCGCTTGGGTTGTTCTCCAGTGGTTTTATTGAGCTGGTTTCGTGTGTTGTAGCACGGACATTACAACGATCCGGTGCCGTTTGTGAACCATATCTTGTGGATCGTAGCATCAACCAGGGTCTCAGGTCGGGGGCTCGGCTCGCGAAGTGTATGCCCCATTATGTTACGGCACCAAGTTTAAGAAGTCACACTGCCCTGGGACATGTCTGGATCGAGGAGCTCCGTCGTCGAGGGTGTCGCGTCTTGTCTTGGGGCGACCGGCACAGAGCTTGCCAAGTGACATCGCGATGTGTCTCCGAAGTCTACTGTGATCTGTTCGTTCCACGGCGACACCAAGGGGATCTTCAGACGACTGCGGCTGAAGGGTTTAACCGTTCGACCTCAGTTGCAGGGAGGTATCTTGGGATTTGTAAAGGGGGAGGAAGGAGGACAGCAAGGGCCACTCGCACCGAGAGGGCAGGGTGGCCAAGCACGGCCGTATGCATGCTCGCGTTGTTCGGTATGCTCGTGTTTCCAAACAGTACTCGGTAACATCTCGGCTTGAAAGAATGGGTGCGCAGGCAGCGGGCAACGACGCGCAAAAGCTACACGGCACGTTTGGCCAACGTCTTGTATCTTTTCGGATGGCTGTTGCTGTCTCGTCTGGGGGCCATGAGTGTTGTTTGTCTTCCACTTTAGCCATTAAGCGCCAGGTCTCGATCTAGGAGTGCGATACCTTGATCAATCCCTGCAGTTTTGGTTGCAGCAATGGTTCGCTCGGCCAAAGATTCGTGGGCGCGTTCATCGGTCGTAGAGTGGTGTGATTGAGTATATGCGTGCTTTTCCTCAGGCGCAGCGTTCTCGATGCGACCGAGGCCCAGTTTCGCCGGTTTGCTGAATCATGGGGTTTCTTGAACGGGGGTGGGACCCAGTTTCGCCGGTTTGCTGGATCATGGAAGATGGCATTGCACGGCGCTTCCCTGAAGCAGGTTATTTGGACATCTCGGCGTTGAACCACATTAAATTGTCCGTAGCCAGTCGTCGGAGACGCATCTGCGGGCAGCAGCTGACCAGCACTTTTGTGGGGGAGGTTTGGGCCAAGGTATGGACCTGTATCCCCTCGATCGACTCCTTCGGCAGCCCGAGCAGCTCCCTAGGGGGCGAAGGCTTGCATCATTGCTGGCGACGGTTGTGCCGGGAGGTTCGTGGCCGAGGTTCAAAAGGGCTCCGGCGGCTACGAAAGTTCAGGTCTGTCCACATTGCCCCAGGAGCCAAAAGAAAGACGAGTCTCCATTTCATCGCATGCGGGGGTGTGCTGAAATGTCGATCGTCCCATTTACACCCAAACCGACGAGTTGCATACGACGGAGTGACACAGCACGAGTCGGCGCCAGGGTATTGGCTCCGGTGGGGCCATACCCGCCTCGTGGGCGAGAGTGCCCGACCCGCCCGATGAGAAGTCTCGGTTGCAGACAGGTCTCCATGGCGGAGTGGTTGATGCAGCGTTGGGGCCAGGCGGGGGCGCCAAGCCCGTGCTGCTGTTTGGCGACGCGAGCGGCGGCGAGAGGACTCCAGAGACGCTGGGTTTCGCGGCGTAGGGTTCGGCCTGTTGCAGGTGGCCAGTATGGTGCGGGATGCGCGAGACTTCTAGATTGTATCCGTGCATCTACCTTGGATAAGGAGCGCGTGCTGTATCTTATCCGCATGCGGATCTTGTGATCGCGTGTCGACTCGCTGGAGGTCGAGAAGCAGCTGCAGCCGAACCCCCGGAACGGCGGGCGGCACCCGGGGCCAGGAGGAACTCGGGGGTCCAACGGTGGAGTGAACAGTTGTGAACTTGCTGATGCTGCTGCTCCCCGTCCTCCGCCCTTGTCTTCTCCGAGTGCGGTCGGCGGTGCCTGCGGTGTCGTGGGTTTGCGCCCGCTGCCCCCGTGTCAAGGTGTGACGTCAGTCTCCGCGTTTCCAGCTCGTAGCGATATATGATATATGTTGTTCCCTGCGTGCAAGTCTCGAGAGGGGGCCGCCATTCGCCCTGCTGGGGGGGTCTGTGATCCCCACTGCATGAGGCTTCGCTCTGGTGTAAATCGTTGGAATGGTGCGAGCTGTGGGATGTACGGGGGCAAACAGCTCCTCGGCCCTGGGAAGGGGCCGCGTTCTCCGACCCAGCCCACCAGGAGATCATAGATCCGTCTGGCTGAATTTTTGGGCAGCGGCCCGGAGTCTACGGCAAGGCCGAACTCGCCCGTGAAGCCCAGAAGGGGTATGAGCGATTGTTGGTAGGACTACGTCCAGGGACTCAAACTCCAAATCAAATTCCTCCTCTTCCTCATCTACAGCAAGGCCGAATTCGCCCGTGGAACCCAGAAGGGGTATTCGGGGGTGGACAGAACCCCCACCATGACACGTCGATTAGTGAGTTGTCCGTTTTCGGTTCTCGAGTGGGCGCCGCGGCCGTTATTTTCCAGGCTTGCGCCCGCCAGGTTTGGGCCCGAGGTCGTGTTCACTAAACCACGTTGTACTAAAGGTGGTTCTGTCCATCCCCGAGGTATGAGTGATTGTTGGTAGGACTACGTCCAGGGACTCAAACTCCAACTCGAATTCCTCCTCTTCCTCCTTCCCCATCCCCCCTTCTCCTCCCTCCCGCCCCGCGCTTCCGGCAGGATTCCATGGACGGAATCTACAGGTTGCTCGGCCAGCCGGGCGAGGAAGGCGCTCCTGGCGTCGGGGCTCCTCCTCACCGCGCCTCCCTCCCAGCAGTCTGGCGCCTTGGGCAACTTGGGGGCAGAACTGCAACGCCTGAGGTGGTGTTCGCAGAGCACAAACATGCATACACATGAGCTTCCAGAGTTCCGCTTTTTTTTTTTGGTTTGTTCCGCACCTCTTTTTTTATTTATTTATATATTTTATATGTATATATATATATATATATATATATATATATTATATATATATATATATATATTATATATATATGTATGTATTTATATATATATATATATATATGGAACAGATAAGAACGGGGTTAGGTTTTGCCTGTCAATGCCTCTGTTTGTTCCTCTATTTGCGCCTCTTGGGGGCTCCTCGTCGCCGCGGCTGGGTCCACTTCGCGGAGCTCTGGTTAAGACAACATCCCGGCGATCCGTGCAGGAGTCGACTCGTGATCCCTGGGCCCTGGATGAGGATCCTTCGCTCCAGGGCGCCGCAGAGGTCGTCCAAGAAACGTTCGCCACGGCTGGGTCCACTTCGGAGTTCTGGTGAAACTACACCCGGCGATCCGTGCAGGAGTCGACTCGTGATCCCTGGGCCTCGGATGAGGACCATTCGCTCCAGGGCGCCGCAGAGGTCGTCCAGAAAACGTTCGCCACGGCTGGGTCCACCTCGGAGTTCTGGTGAGACTACACCCGGCGATCCGTGCAGGAGTCGATTCGTGATCCCTGGGCCTTGGACGAGGACCATCCGCTCCAGGGCGCCGCAGAGGTCGTCCAAGAAACGTCCGGCGCTTTGGAACAAAAAATCCCGCGGCGGAGAAATCTCGCAGATCCGCCAGGCCGTACAGGTTTCCATGTCAGTTTCGGCTGATTTTGTCATCATCTTGCCTTCGTCGTTCCAAGCAGAAGTGCTAAACGTAAAGTTTTGGAGCTCCTCGCGGATGATGTCTTGAATCTGCGCTGGACCCTCCTTGAGGTGCCTCTGGCGCCGCTCCTGGCGCGCTCCCGGCGCCAGGGAGGGGGTTCCAGCGCATATCCAGAAAATCCGCGCGGAACCCCGAAAGTTATGTTTCTGCAGTCGTTTTTTTTTCCTTATTCTAGTTTCAGGTCTGTCGCCATGTTGGGCCTCCAGAGGCCAGTTTCGGGCGCCGGGACCGTCAAACATCGACTCGGGATGGAAAGCTGGCCTTGGGCAATTCAGAGCGTGAATGACCTACCCCGCTTTCGCTTCCAGGCAAAACCAAGCCATACCACGCGCCTCCTCGTCAAGCGGCCTGACCAGTACAGGCTGCAATGTGGCGTCGTTTGGTATCTCTTGGAAGCGAGGGTGGTCAAAAGCGAGGCAGGTTTGTTTTCCCCCTAGCAATGGTCTGGAGCCTCCCGGGGGGCCCACGCGTCGAGAAGGATTCGGAGCTCCCGACGTCGGGTTCCACGGCAGGGTCGCGCCGCGTCGGCGCAGAAGGTGACCCTGGCGCGAGTGACCCTGGCGCGGGGTCTCCGGGAGTCGCGCCCGCAGGTCCCGTGCGCCAGGCCCCCCCGTGGCAGGGCTCGTTTCGATTCCTCCGATTCGATTCGATTCGATTTCGATGGTTTCCGATTCCGATTCGATTCGATCTGGGATTCCGATCTGAGTTCCGATTTCTTATTGGAGGCACAGGAGCCTGCCGATTTCTGCCGATCCGACTTTTCCCGACTCGGCTGCCGATTTCCGACGGTCCGATTCATGCCGATCGCCGATCCGACTCGTCGATCCGATCCTGGGCTCTCCTGCCGTGGGGGTCCGCCCGCCCGGCCCGCCCGTCAGGGCCAGGCCGCTCCTCGGCAGCCGGGGCCGCGCCGCGGCCGTCGGCGACGGTGGCGTCGGTCATCGTCCCGTCTGCGCGGCGCGTCCGGCCGTGGCAGCGACGCGGAGGTCGTCGCCGTCGTCGTCGTCGTCGTCGTCGTCGTCGTCGTCGTCGTCGTCGTCGTCGTCGTCGTCGTCGCGGGGTGGGCGGTGCGGAGGGCGGCGGCGCAGAGGTCGGCGGTGCCCGCGCGGCTTGCCTCCAGGCCTCCCGGATGGGGGTGCGAGCAGACGGGGACGGGGTCGGAGGATCGCGCCGCATCGCCGATGCACCGCTGATGCAGTTCGACGTGGAGCCCGATCTTCTCCACGTCGAGGTGGCCGATGCATGGGCGATGCGGCGCGATTCTCCGACCCCATCTGTTCGGACCGTATATGGGAGGTCTCCTATCGGGCGGGGGCTAGGACGAGAGACGCCCTGAGGAGGCCGCGGCGCCCGAGGCATCCTCCAAAGCCGCCGCCAGATCTCAGAGAACCTCGACTTCTCTTCACCCGATGCTGCCCTCGTTCTGGCGTCGCCTCACTCCAGCGCCCGCAAGGCTCGTTCGCGCCGACCGAGCCCTCCATCTCGCCGCTGCACGCCGAGGCCCGCCAGGGCGGCGCCTCCGGCGCCCTTGCTGCCCCCGCCTTCGCCGCCCGCCCGCCGCGCGCTTTCCCCTCGGCGGCCGCCCCTCCGCCGCGAGCCCCCCGCGCGTCGTGGAGCGAAGGGGGGCCGCACGCGGTGGTCCCAGCAGCAGGGGCCGGAGCGCCGCGGAGGAGGAGGAGGAGGAGGAGGAGGAGGAGGAGGAGGAGGAGGAGGAGGAGGAGGGATGCGATAGGAGGGAGGAGGGAGGAGAGAGGAGGGAGGAGGGAGGAGGGAGGATATGTGAGGGAAGAGGGAGGAGGGAAGATCTAGGACGAAGGAGGGAGGAGGGAGCACGGAGGAGGAGGAGGGACGAGGGATGGAGGGGTTCAGGCTCAGGCTAAGGTGCTCAGAGTCAGAAAGCCCAGGGTTCGCCCCCGCAGCGACGAAAACCCTCCCGAAACCCTCCGAAAAACCTCTCAGAACCCTTTTCGGGAGGTATTTGGATGGTTTCGGGAGGGTTTCGATTGCTTCGAAAAGACACCAGTCCCGCGGAGGTGGAGGAGGGAGGAGGAAGAGGAGGAGGAGGAGGAGGAGGAAGAAGAGAAGGAGGAGGACCAGTATACATTCTAGAGCCCTCAACGATGTTGGAATAAACCTCGTCCAAGCTCTCTTTCCATAGGCCCCTACAACGTGTCAATTCCACTGGGGAACTGCCTCGTTGGAAGACAACCGTTTGAAGACCCTGAAGCATGCCAAAATATTGTTCTCGGGATCCCAACGTCACGGATCGACTTGACTGTTGCGTCTTGACGATCCTGAATCGTGTCAGAACGTTATTCCTGGGTTTCCAGCACCGCGAATCAACGTGAATGTTGCGCCCTCATAATCTTCACTCTCCACAGCATAATGTCTGGCACGTTGCTGGTGGGAACCCACGGGTGCACGCCGCACTCAGGCGAGAGCCACATTTGGACAACCACCCGCCTTCAAACCGCAAAGCCCTTGCAATGTTTAAGAACGAATGTGCGATGCGCTAAGGCGACAGCCACGTTTTGAAAACCACCCGCCCTCAATCCGTAAATCTCTTGGGTTTTTGAGAACGAATGTGCGCGGCGCTGAAGCGCGAGCCACATTTTGACAACCACCCGCCCTCAACCTGTGAAGCTCTTGCAAATATTGAAAGCGAATGTGCGCGGCGCTAGGGCGACAGCCACATTTTGAATACCATCCGCGCTCAATCTTTGAAACGCTTGCAAAATGCCCAACCATCCTGTGGTGTTGGGTCCTCGTTTTGAAGAAACAGCGCCCCGCGTCTCCTCTCCTCTCCTCTCCTCCTCCCCCCCTCCTCCCTCTTCCCATCCGCCTCAGGCCGCATGCGTCAACGCCACCCAGGCCAGCGTTTCGTGGCCCCACAGGGGGCGCATGCGGGGACCGCCACCCATTTAGGCACATCCCTCGCACGGTTCGTGGCACCAAAAGGAGTTCCACCGAAGGCTCCAGTGGCAGGGTCCGCATGCGGGGTCCGCCACCCATTTCGGCCTACCCCTCACATGGTTCGTGGCCCCACAGGGAGCTCCACCGAAGGCCCCTGTGGCAGGGTCCGCATGCGGGGACCGCCACCAATGTCGGTACACCCCTCACACGGTTCGTGGCCCCACAAGGAGCTCCACCGAAGGTTCCGGTGGGAGGGTCCGCATGCGGGGACCGCCACCCGTTTTGGGACACCTCTCACATGGTTCGTGGCCCCACAGGGAGTTCCACCGAAGGCCCCAGTGGCAGGGTCCGCATGCGGGGACCGCCACCCATTTAGGCACACCCTCACACGGTTCGTGGGCCCACAGGAAGCTCCATCGGAGGCCCCAGTGGCAGGGTCCGCATGCGGGGACCGCCACCCAAGTCGGTACATTTTTACACGGTTCGTGGCACCACAAGGAGTTCCACAGGAGGCCCCAGTGCCCAGTGGCATCGTCCGCATGCGGCCGGCATGCGGGGACCGCCACCCATGCCCATCCACCCCTCGCACGACTCGTGGCCCCACAAGGAGTTCCACCGAAGGCTCCATTGGCAGGGTCCGCATTCGAGGGCCGCCACGCCATCTTGGCCTACCCCTCACACGGTTCGTGGCCCCACTGGGAGTTCCACCCAAGGCCCCAGGTCCGCATGCGTCAACGCCGTTCATTTCGGCATACCCCTCACATGGTTCGTGGCCCCCACAAGGAGTTCCACCGAAGGCTCCAGTGGCAGGGTCCGCATGCGGGTTCCGCCACCCATTTCGGCCTACCCCTCACATGGTTCGTGGCCCCACAGGGAGCTCCACCGAAGGCCCCAGTGGCAGTGTCCGCATGCGGGGACCACCACCCATTTTGGCACACACCCCTCACACGGTTCGTGGCCCCACAGGGAGCTCCACCGAAGGCCCCAGTGGCAGAGCCCACATGCGGGGACCGCCACCCATTTTGGCACACACCCCTCACACGGCCCGAGGCCCCATAGGAAGCTCCATCGGAGGTCCAGTGGCAGAGCCCACATGCGGGGACCGCCACCCATTTAGGCATACCCTTCACACGGCCCGAGGCCCCACAGGGAGCTCCACCGAAGGCCCCAGTGGCAGTGTCCGCATGCGGGGACCGCCACCCCTTTTCTGCGTACCCGTCACGCGGTTCGTGGCCCCACAGGGAGCTCCACCGAAGGCCCCAGTGGCACAGGCCGCATGCGCCCGACGCCCATTCTGGCACACCCCTCACACAGTTCGTGGCCCCGTATGGAGCTCCACCGAAAGCGGTGTCCACAACGCGGTGTTCACAATTGCGCGTGTTTGGGGCTTTCGCCAGGATAAGTTTTACCCGCCCATGGGATAACATGTGTTCCCCCCTGCCCCCCCCCCGTAACGCTAACGCCCCCGCCCGTCCAGCGCGCGATCCAGGGCAGCCTAGGGCCTGTGGTGCACGTGGGCACTACTCGTGCCGCGGTGCACGCGGGCGCGCACGATGGTGTACGCAGGCACTGCGGTGTACATGGGCGTTGTGGCGCACACATCTGTCGTTGCAGCAGCAGCAGCTGTGGTGTACACAAGCATAGTTGGTCTACGCAAGCACTGTGGTGTACAACAAGCCCTGTGGTGTACACAGACGCCGTGATGTACATAATTGTTGTAGCGCGCAGAGTCGCTATGATGTAAGCGAGCGTTGTGGGCTATCATGTACCCACGCATCTCTTCCTACTTTGTCCTCCTCCTCCTCCCCTTTCATTTTGGTCCTCCTCCTCGTCGTCCTCTTTGCGCATACAGGACGCGGTTATTGTGGTGTACTCAAGGATTGTGGTGCACACAAGCCTTGTGGTACACACAGGCGTTGTGCTTCACATTCGCTGTGGGCTCAGAATGTCCCAGCGTTCCTCGGGCGACAATGATCACAATCAGGTCACATATTGAATCTGATACATTCGGGCCCCCTGCGATTTCCCAGACTTTGGCTCCGCCGGGGCCCCATCGTGGGGTTCCTGATAATCCTCCTGCTCCTCCTGCTGGTGCTGCTGTTCCTCGTGCTTCTCCTGCGTGTATTCCCTCGGCTGACGCCGCTCCGCGCGCCCCCAAGCAGCGCGGAGTTCACGGGCGCCGTGGTGCGCGCAGTTGCGATGACGTGCACAGTTGCTATGGCGTGCACTGGCGTTGTGGGCCCCGAACGTCCCTTAGGCCAGAACAACAAATATTCACAATCATTTTGGATATTGTTTTTGATACGTTCGGGCCCCTAGCGATTCTCCGAAATATGACTCCGTCGGTACCTTCAGGTGTACACAAGCTTTGTGTTGTACGCAGGCACTGTGGTGAACAGGGGGTACTGAAACAGCAGGCAGGCGCCGTCGTGTGTACAAACAGTGTGATGTGCAAAGGAGTTGTGGCGCACACGGTTGTTATGGTGCATACAGTCGTCGTGATGCACACACATACAATTTGTGTGGCAGTCCTGCTGCACAAAGGCATTGTGGTATTCAGAACCCGTGTTGTGTGCACAGGCATTTTGGGCTTGAATGGCGACGACGACGACGATGACGACGACGACGACGACGGCGACGACGACGACGACGACCTAGGCGGCGCGCCTCGGGGGGTGCGCGCCGCGGCCCCTGTTACCGTTATCCCCCCCCCCCCGCCCGCCCCCCCCCCGGGTAACATGTTATCCCCCAGGGGACAAATGTCTCCTTTGTCTCATCGATCTCTGTTAGCGTGTGGTCGCCTTCTTCCGCGTTCGGATTCCCCGCGTCGTCGCTCCTGCTAGCGACCCACGGCCCCCGACGGGCTAGCGTGCGGGAGGCCTCCCAGAAGCGACTCGTGGTCTCGTTATCTCGTGGGCCCTCGAGGTTATGAGGATCTGGGCTCTCGGAGGTCTCAGCGATGGGCCCCGGCCTGGCTCCTGGGTCCTGGGTCGGGGTGGCGACGAGGTGGGCACTCTAGTGTTGGTGTCACAGGTGACCTGCGCTGTTTCTGGGCTGTTCGGGCCTAGCGTGATCGTGATGCTGGCACTCCATCTGTGTCGTTCTTCGCGGCCTTCGCGTCGTTGTCGGAGTAATGCCATACGGGTGGTCTTCAGTTCGCCGTGCTCAGTCTGTGCAGACGTACGCGTTCCGTAGTCTGATCATCCTGTTGATGTCCTGGAATCGTGCGTCGGTGCCCTTGCCCTCGGACTGCTCGATGGCGTTCTCGAGGTCATGGATGAAGTCGTTGCGGTGGTGCCATTTGCGTACTGCTCGAACGAGTCCGTCTCGGCCCCTTTTCGGTGTCTGCTGTTGTTGTCGTGCGAGCTTTCGCAGCGGGATTCGTAGTGCCAGCTGGGCTGGAATATGGTCTCGATGTTCTTGGTATGGTTTCAGTTGAAGTCGCGTGCCCATGCGCAGGAGCGACCCCTGCGAAATCATGCTGCTGGTGAGCTCCCGGGGCGTCATGATGTGATGTAGTCGATGCAGCTTGCGTTCTTCTCGCCGAAGCAGGTGGGCCTCCAGTCGCCGAGCGCGTTGTCTGGCGC